CGGCAATCTGACTTTTGGACAATGATTGGTAAATCAGAAAAACGAATTATTGACTTTGTATTCCATTGGCAGTCACAAAACTCTTCGGAACGACATCTTAGATAAATAACAGGTTAACTATTAACCTTTATTTAATGCAGGTTTTGAACCGTATTCTTTGAAGGAGACGATTATATTCAAATAAATCTGTATTGACATATCAATAAAATTTTTTTGTCCAAATGTACAGATTGCCGCCTTTGATAATAGACGACTCAAATCACACAACTTCACTCCTCGCGTTCCCGCCAAAAAGTCATTGTTTCAATCTCATGGAGTTCATAAGCCATGACCATAGATTATAGACAGATAATATACTTCAGTGGATAATACATGTAAGATCTGTCCATCGAGTTACTATTCTAACTTGTTGTAGGTACCGTAAAATGGGGCGATTAGGGACAAATTCCAACTTTATGAGCAATTTTAAGGTAGTTGTTGATGTATATAATGCTATATCAGGATCAAAATGGTTGAGTCTTGGGGGCATCTTTGTTGTCTAATTTAAAATTATGCAACTAGCATTCCAGTTTAAGCAAAAAATGCAAAAATAGGTGTAATCCCTATTTACCCGAAAATTGCGGTTAATTGGGACGAAATGAGAAATTTGCTAGGGTTGGCACTACTTTTATTTTTATATATAGTTTTAATTTATTTATTTATTTAGTTGCACCAACAAAGTGATCATCAATAAAAAAAATTGAAAAACTGACAAAAGTACATGGCAGACATCACCTCAATTATAGGTGCAATCGACAGTGCTGATATTTCTATCTGGGTTAAGAGATTAGGTGTGTCGGTTATTCCATGGATTAATCAGATGAATACCCCCACTCTGAACAAATATTAAATATTTTATTATGTATTACTTAGACATTTTTGTCCACCTTGAGATTTCATTGATCTTGTTACATGTCTCTGCAAAATCGACTTACTTATATTAAATTGCTTATCTATTTCAACTAAAGACTTATTCCCAATTTCGCTTCGAATAAACCAGATTTTTACAAACAAATTTAAAAAATATTTTATAACTACATAGACAACCCTACAAACCTGTACCTATTTATACTTAGGTCGTTTCCATTTCACGTATTCTCATCCCAATTGACCCCTTTTTCGTTGTTATTTATACCTAAGACGTCCCCAATGTCCCCAAAAACAACAGATTTTTACATGTATTTTTATTTAATCACATACATTAAAATCAATAACAACTGGGACTTACCTTTAATATATATGCTGGTTCAAACACTAAACAACGTTTATAAATCATAGTCGTCTTCTATTATTATCAAATAAATAAAAGAGAGCAAAGTTTCTAGCACTAAAATAATTACCACAACAGGAAGTTAATTTGAAACGCGATTTTTTATAAGTTAGCAGCTATTATCATGCATATTCAGATTTGTTTTGTGAACTTTCAACATTCTACTATTAAACTACAAAAAACGGGAGATTTTGCAACGAATATAAAACTTATATTGAGCGTCGAAAGATTTTCCCGGTTTTTTCCCGATTCGCCTTTCAATCCCTAATCGCCCCATTTTACCGGTACTTATTAACTCCATGGATCTGTCATTCTACAGTTCCTCAGGTTCCTCCATAGATTATACACTTAATATATACGAGAGGTTCCTCTACACAAAGAGCATAGAGTAAGATTATATATAACCTAAACAAAGAGTTATTCTCAACAAGTTTACATGGTTTTATGCATCTTGCACAAAATATATTTCAGTATAAATGTAACATTATTTTTAACGTTTGTAGAATGGGGACTAGAATACTCCAAAGACTAATTGTGTCAACATTTCTAAATAATGTTACACCCAGACGGCAATTAAGGTTATGTGAAAAAATAGTTTGTGCCCATAATTTAAACACAACTTACGTTAGGAATTATGCAAAAAGTAAAGACAAAGGAAAGGAAAAAAAAGGTAAAGGCACTAAAGTTGAAATTAATATGGCAGTTCTCTCCGAACTTATACCGGTAGACAAGATGAAAGACCGCTGCAGTGCCGCTATTGAAAATATGAAGGCGGATTTTGCTAAACATTTGTCTATAAGATCAACCACTGGCTCGATAGACACAATACCAGTAAAATTCGAGGGCAAAGAATATGAACTACAAGAACTAGCTCAGATTGTAAGAAAGAATCCTAAAACGATAGTAATAAACTTCTCTTCTTTTCCCCAAGTCATACCGGAGGCCTTGAAAGCCATCAGTAGTTCTGGTCTAAATTTAAATCCACAACAAGATGGAACTACACTGTTTGTGCCTGTGCCTAAAGTCACAAAGGAGCACAGGGAAGCATTGGCTAAGAATGCTAAGGTGTTGTACATAAAGTGTAGGGATGCACTCAAAGACATACAAAATGAAAACATAAAGAAAATGAAGAAACAGACTGGTGTATCTGAAGATTTAATATTTAACGGAACAAAACAAATAAATGCTTTGTGTGAAAAATATCTATTAGAAGCGAGAAGTATTTATGATGCCAAATGTGTTGAATTAGTTGGGAAGTAGGTGTTTGTGGAAATAACTTTGTGTTGTTAATGAATAGAATAATATGCATAATATATATTTAAGAAAATATGCCATGCATCTTTTCAATAAACACCAATAGATAGTTTGAAATAAAAAAAAATATTTTGAAAGCCTTTTTTTGTATCTATCCATAACTATGTTAAGGGAATATGAAGTGTAATTTTTGTTCCAATTATTCTGCAAATTTTAGTTTAATTTTACATTTCAATTTATGACCCAGTGATGCAATATTCAAGCCCTTGACTGTTGTGCCATGGGATTTGGGTTGATTCTCACATCGGGCAAACATTTGTGTAACGACATGTGTGTTTGCTCTTAGTCTTATGTATATATTTAAATATATATTTCTCTGGTACCCATAACACAGATAATCCTATTTTTGGGACCAGATAACCTTGTGTGATCTGTTACCAGTTATTTAATTTTTATTTTTTAATTTTTTCATCTATTGACATAGATTGATCCATTTTGTGTTTTAAGGTGTAGAAGAAATTAATGTAGTGTTGAAGAAAATTTAAACAATTAGAAATTCACATAAATACGAGTTTTGAATATAATTCAGCAATTAAAGTTTTTTTTTTGTATTTAAACATAGAACTTGAATCTAAAATCAGAGTTTATCCAGATGCTCAATGATGCAAGGATGAAAACAACATAGATGTAGATATTTGTCTATTGCTACTTCTTGATCCTACAGGTAGTAACTAAGATGTGGCACTAACAATGAGCTTAGGAACCACAATGTGAATGCCACACTATAGTAACTGCCATTTTAAGCAGTCTATTTTTAGTCTATTTTGAACAAAATTTAATTGTTTTGTTTAAAAAAAAGCAATGACTGAAGTTTGTTAAAAAAAGTTTGTTTCGCCTTCCCTCCAGTAAAGGTCATGGGGTGACCTGAGGGGGTAGAGGCTGCNTATTTTTAGTCTATTTTGAACAAAATTTAATTGTTTTGTTTAAAAAAAAGCAATGACTGAAGTTTGTTAAAAAAAGTTTGTTTCGCCTTCCCTCCAGTAAAGGTCATGGGGTGACCTGAGGGGGTAGAGGCTGCGCGGCGCGCTACAGCACTCTAGCGCGCTGCCGAGGAAAAATATTAACATCCTGATAAAAGAGCAATCGGTTGGCAGTGTACCATGTTCCGATCCGGCAGGCTGGTCCTGGTCCAGCGGCACCGTCTAGGTGGCCTGACGAGCTGCCGTGCTCGAGACGGCTGACGTTGCAGAACCTTCATTTTGCCTCGAAATCTCATTCGGCTGGGCATCCTCGGGGTGAGCCGCGCGTCTGGTTGGAGTCTTACGACGGTAACCCGGTTCTGACCTTAGGATAGATCAGGTGCTTGGACTGGACGATAGTCGGGGAGACCAAGGGAGTCGGTAGCGCTCTAAATTCCCTCCCTTGGGCCCAGGGTCCGCTCCAAACATTTGCGAAATACCCCGCGCGTCACCTAAGCACGGGACCTCTTAGGTGGTTCGGCCTCCGGCCCAAAAAATAGATGGATGAACAAGTTCACGTCCCAATTAATGTTAAGTGGTTGCTGGAGTCCATACACATCCAACATCAATGACACCACCCACCTTGAGATATGAGGTCCTAGTCCAAATCAAGTAGTTTACAGGCAGTCTCCCTTTCCAAACTGCATGACTGCTTCGCGATGGAAATACATACAATGGTGGAACTTTTTCTTGCAGGTTCACAATACGTCCTACCAGAAGTAACGGTACTGTGGGGTCAGCATTATTTGCGGCCAAACCTGTTCTTTGCGTACTAGAACTCTTTGAACGTGCAGTACCATTTCGCCTATTAAATTTTCAGTGTATAAATCACATATTACTGAGTTTGTTAATTCTCCACTCAATCTGACGCATCCATTTTACTTTAATCCATCAATTTCATTTGGTATTTGAAACTAAATTAGCTAAGCTAAGAGCTCGTCTTAGTGTATTTTATATATGGCTAAAATCATTTTGCTGTTCAATCCCAGAAAATACAACTTTAGTCGAATGAGTGACAATACTCTTAGATATAATCTAGATTTGCATATTTCTATGCACAGAACTGTCCGGATGTTATAACGGGATTGAACGGGAAAATGAGATATTAAATTTCGGAAAATGTTTATGTTTTGTTGACACTTCTTCAGGTATATTTTTAATTGCTTAGAGTGAATATACAAATGCAGAAAAAAAAATTGACGTAAAGATTATCGTCTGTTGTTAGTTTCCTTTGCCTGCCCAAAAAACGACTTAAATAAAAAAAAGCTAGTAAATGTCAGTTTTGTTTACAAATTAACTCTAAGCACCATCTGCTTGCTAACGAGAAATAAAAATTAATGGAAAGATTAACAAAAATACATAGAAATAAATACGCCAGAGTGATGTCGCGTATTACCAATCGTTCGAAAACGAATTTGGGGGCTGACTCTATAGTTATGCGGCACGAACTGCCTTCAGCACGTCTTCGCGGGAAACTAACGCATTCAAATCCTAATTGCGGTGTTTTTAGTGAACTTCCAACTGTATTGAATGATTATAGTCCAGAGACTGTTCCTGATAGAGTTTTGAGACGTACATTAACGTCGAAACCGCGTAAAACAATCAAATCTTTGGACCCCGCCACTTCCCCTCATCGCGTAGTAACGAAATGTGAAACCGGCAGAAAACCTCGGCCAATGGTTAAGTTGCGGGAATCAGCACCTGTGTTAACGAACAAGTGTATGGATACAAATGAAAGACGGTGTTCGTCAAGCAGGACCCATACTAACTTAAAATATTTAAAAGTAAGTTTGAAAGTTTAAAAACAGCTCATAAGATTTTTGTTACGACTATTTACACTATATTCATTCTCAATAAGCATTTACTATTAAAGAGTACTTCCTAATTTACTATTTAAATAAAATAAAAAACAAAGTTATAAGTTTTTACCAAAACTATACTCCTAAAAGTTAGGAATGAATTTTAATCTCTAGTGTAACTAAAATATACTTCTTATCATAGGAGGAAATAAAAGCATACAACGAAGCGGAAAAACTAATGAGACTTAGAAGTTCTCTCTACAAGAAATGTGGAGTTGTGCTTGATGACGTAGGACAGGTTACCGAAGACAAAGCAATACAAGTGGAACCAGCACCAGGTAACAAATCTACGAATCATTCACATAATTTGATACTGATTAAAACTTTAAATGAGAGTGTAAAATTAATTTCCAACATGAGTGATCAACATACAGCTTATTTTATTTGATACTTCTAAACATCAAGCGAAATAGCGCCATCTGTCGTTAAAATGTTACTTTGTAAACACATCTTTTTCTGATACAGATGTCACTAGTCAATAAAATTGTCAAATGTGGCAATACAATTTTCAATATTATTAATAGCTGTAATATTATAATAGTATAGATTAACATACATAATACTCGTATAAGGAATATGAAAAAATTAAAAGAAACGAAAATCTAACTATATGAAGCGCGTTAATAAGTCCAATGACGGTTTAGTTCATTTTTATAAATCTAGATGGCGCTAGTTGTCAGTAACTGCCGGCTTAATTTTTTAAATGCGACTGGTAGATGAGTCCACCCGATGCTAAGTGAATAGAAACATGAATGCCGCCAATTACTTCGAGATCATCATCATAGTCGGTTACTTTTGGCAGAGCAGTTGTGGTCATATGGAATCCTTGCTTATTAAAGCCTAGACGGCTCTTCTCCATAGTTTGCGAACTGAGGCTTGGCGCACTCACTCGTTATATGGGATTTCGACAGAGATTTTCATCTGATCAGTCCAACGCATCATCGAGATCTTTTACCATTGACCCTACATTGAACAACAAGTTTCTCGATAGACTAGAAAGTTTCGAGATAGTTGTTCCCAATGTTATTTGTATTCGATGACGATCGTCCCGTCTTTCAAGTTTGCCGACAGAACCTTAAGCATTAGTCGAAAATGCATCTATGTAGGCACATTTAAAAAAGGACCTTTTTCAAAGAATCAACTTTCTCGAACAGAACATAAAATTACATCACTGAGTTTTTTTATTTTATTTTGTCTTTACATTTTTTTTAAAATTCATTTATTGTATTATACTGAAAAAATATAATAACTTCATAGGTCTTCGTGAGCCCAATGAAACCTACTTTTAAGGCTTAATCTCGCGTACCTAATTATTGTCATTAAATATAATTTATGTCGTCACAGTTTCACGGACTTGTCCCTAGACCGTAACAGTTTATATAAGTGTTCTTTTTTTTTAAATTTCAACTGCTTCTTAATTCTCTGTATTATTACTTAATTAAAAAATAAAACAAAAATAAACATAGAAACATTGTTGTGGTATATACACGCATGTAGACTTGACATATTAGTCTATAGTTCGTCTTAATTTTAAAGTTTAGTCTACAGTTTTGTTCACTGTCGTTTGTTTGGTTGCAGATACCGGAAATCCAAAAAGGTAAAATATATTTAGTTTTTATTCTTAAAATTCAAAATTAGGAGCTGCTAAATTATTTATGCTCAGGGAACTTAAAAATTCCTTCATTATGTCCTCCATTGTATTGCATTCCAGTTTTTCTTGTACATAATTTAGAATTTGTAATTTCTTCAAAAGGTTATTATGAAAAGTTTGATTTTACGTTGATTAGGTTATGATCGAGTCAAAGGCAAATTATTTGGTAAGAGAAATCTAATAATAACCAATCAAAACGAAATAATAACGAATAAAAACTAATCTAAGTACGGACGTCTGTATCTATTCGAATATTTCTTCTATCTCTCTCTAACACGAACTTTTTTAATAATACTTTTTTCCGTATATTGCGATAATTGAGGTTACAGCCCATTTTGTTGGTAACTTCATACAGGGGCCCATAGATATCAACAACTTGAATGTTCTCGCCAATTTGATACGTCTCAGTTGTATTCTAAGACTGTCTTAAGCTTTAAGTTGAAAGCAGAAAATTTAGCTGAGCTAAATAATTTTGATATTTGTAAAGGTTAAACTTCTGAGATAACAGTATAGAATTATAAGCCCTATTTCGTTATAGCTTATGCCGCCTCTTTAGCTCAGTGGTAGAGCACTGGTCTCGTAAACCAGGGGTCGTGAGTTCAATCCTCACAGGAGGCATGTTATGTTTTCTTTTTTTTTTAATCTTATCAATTAATAACTACACTGAAATAACTTGATTTTGTGGGGTATACGTAACTATGTAAAAAAAATAAGAAGAAAACAATACAGCGCTTCTAGCGGCAAACAGGCAAACGTTCCAATTCCGTAAAAATTTGAGTTAACTTTTACGCGATCGAGAACGTTAAAAAACTCGCACTAAGCACACTGATTCGAGATGGAACCAATGTAGTAGTATAGGCCCAGTCCGGGCGTATCTAGATTAGCTTCTTAGGCTACCACTGAGTTTCTCGCCGGATCTTCTTAGTGGGCCGCGTTTCCGATCCGGCAGTAGATTCTGTGAAGCACTGCTCTTGCTAGGGCCAGTGTTCGCAAATTCTCTCAGGTTGAGCCCGTGAGCTCACCTACCCGTCCGCGCGAAGCTGGAATAGCCTCTTAGGCTGTTAGCGAATGGTTAAGGGAAAAAAACGACAGAAAATTCATGTGGCATAATGAAAAATAAAATATTAATATTAAGAAACAGTCGCTTGCGCATGGCGACGCGTCGCAACTTCTGTTTTTTTCCTACCTATGCTGATAGCCTCAAAAGGCTATTTCAGCGTAACCTTAACTAGTAGGTGAGCTCACTAGGCTCAAACCTGACGACGTTGCTAACACTGACCCTAGCAAGAGCAGTGCTTCGCAGAATCTACCGCCGTACCGGAAAGGCGACCCACTGAGAAGATCCTGCGAGAAACTCCGTGAGCTGTGTCTGTGGTAGGAGTGGGTAATATCGGTTTTGCCGCCTATCGAATCGTATCTATATATCGAGTGTCAATATCGGATATTGAATCTATATATTTTCTGAATCTATATATTGATGGATGCTAGTAGATTTTCTCGATTTATGATATTTGAGATTTTAAACGATACGCTGATATAATATCGTAGTAGATATAGATTTAAGTCAACGTTATACGCTTGGTTTTCTGATATCAATTTATAATATGATTTTAAAGTAATAAAAAGAACATGAAAATAAAAATATCAAAAAAACTTTCCTTCATGCTTTTACCAGGCTTAGGACTGGCTACATTATTTTCAGTTTTTAGTATTTTGTGTCTTAATTTAAAATTACAAAATATACCAAAAGAGTGTAGATTTCAAAAGTTTAATACAAACACAAGAAATAAACTCAATTATTTGGATTCAACTAAAAATAAAAAATGTGTACTTTAAAAATCAAACACAAAATACTTTTAATGCGCATCACATCGAGCAATATCGTGTATCGGCTGATATCGATATATAGACTTCGTGCGGGACGATATCGGATTCAACGATATTGCTGCGATATATAGATATTGAATCTATATACGATTTATATCACCCACTCCTAGTCTGTGGGTTAGTTTACTCGCGGAGCCCTTCGTCGCTTGCGACGGGTTGGCCGACAAAGATGACCGGTCCTTGAGGTACCTAAAAACACAGTTAGTGGATCGAGTGGATCCGAAATGACGTGTTATCGCTTCGCAACACCGTACACACTACTACAAATATACTGTTTATCTAAATACTATCATATACCATCTACCACGGCACGCATCGCCACGCCAACGATCGGTTTTATGGGTGGCTATAGATGACATTTGTCCTTCTTCAAACGAGGTTTTGGAGAACACTCAACGGTAGGCAGCGGTTTGACTCTGCTGAAGTCCACGGGCGCCGGTAACCACTCACCATCAGGTGGGTCGTATGCTCGTCTGCCTACAAGAGCAATATAAAAAAACATAAAAAAAAAGTAAAGTCGTGTGTGTATACGTGTTCAAACAGGATGCAATACGAACCCCACCGGCGACAGTTACGTCAGCCGGTTGATCCGTTAGCTTTATGACCCGTCTGCACCGTTATCTGACCACCGCTGCACCGGGGACAGCCCCGCAATTACACTTCACCCCGTTCCGTGAGCTTCACTTGACGCATTTCGACCGTACGCTTGAGTTTGTTAAGGGCTTTTGTTGGTTACGTTGCGTTGAATTTTAATTTTTTATTTTATTTAGGAGATTTTATGCCCTGGTAATTAAAACCTTTAAGTCATGTCATATTTGAATTTATATTCTTATTTTTATTAAAAATGATAATATGGAGTGAAATTATATGAAATGAGATGATATGAGATGAAATATAATCTCAGTTAAATGGTGGTCATTTACTGAGATTTTTTCAGTGGACGTTTTGGAGGATCCCGAGAAGATACGTCCAGCAACTTTGTTTCATTTTCCCACATTTGTGCACTTTCACAGATATTAAACAGTTAATAAACCACCGTTATTACACATTTAAAAATCACATAATTTCACTCCTCGCGTTCCCGCCAATTGTAAATGTTATATAAATTATTTTTTTATCATCATAGTCGTGCATAGAGTATGTATGTAGTTATGGCATTCTGCGTTTTTTTGTTGTCTTAAATACATTCGATTGAACTATGTATGTTTCAATTTGTTAAAGTTATCTGTTAAAAAAGTATTTTTAAAACTATGTATATTTCTCTTGTATTTCTATTTTCGTGAGCCGTAGATATATTTTATTTTATTGATTAAATGGATGCACGAGCTCACGCCCCACCCGGTGTTAAGTGATTACTGGAACCCATAGACAACTATAACGGAAATGCGATACCCACCTTGAGATATAAGTTCTAAGGTCTCAGTATAGTTACTACGGCAGGCCCACCCTTCAAACCGAAGCGCATTATTGCTTCACGGCAGAAATAGGCGGGGCGGTGGTACCTACCCGTGCGGACTCACAAGAGGTCCTACCACCAGTAATTACGCAAATTATAATTTTGCGGGTTTGATTTTTATTACACGATGTTATTCCTTCACCGTGGATGTCAATCGAGAACATTTGTTAAGTACGTTATTCATTAGAAAAATTGGTACCCGCCTGCGGCATTCGAACACCGTTGCATCGCTACATACGAATGCACCGGACGTCTTTCTTATCCTTTAGGTCACGACGACGACAATTTGAATGAGGTAAACTTAATTGAAGTACAATTAAATGCTAATACCAAATAAAACAGACCGTTTAATTACAAAGGTCAATGTCGCGTATTAAACGAAATTGCGCTTAAACGAAATATCCTTTCACCCTCGATATATAATAATATGCACATTGCTCAAAAAAAATTAAATAATGAAAACGACAACCTCGTTATCACCCCGGCCGGCACGAGCGACGTGTCGTCACTTCCGTTTCCCGTGCGCGTGCGTGGCCGCTGGCCGCCCGCCAATCTATTCTTGATATCGTTTTATTACGAAGTGCATCGGATATCGACTCATTCGTAATACACACAACGTCTTTAACGTCTGTCATCGAAATCTATATCTATACTAATATATATATATATATCTCTACAGTGGTTTTTACGGATGTTCCGTTGAAACTTGGTATCCATGAAGAAAATACATGTACTTAATGGATAGGCTAATATTTATATGAGCGTTGGACTCCCTAATAATAATGACCATAAATGATAATGTTAATTTTAAATGCCCAGCGTAGCGGGCGAGTACGGCTAGTACTCTATAAGAACGGGCTTGCTCAGAGCTAGAAAGGCGTATCTTACGTGTTATTTTGGGAGTTAACGACGAAGAAATCTTCGACCGAGCTGGTGATATTGCTCGGTAGACCGACGGCCCGAATGTTGTTTTTTTTCCCTATCCATATCAGCGTAACCTTAATTATTGGGTGAGCTCACAGGGCTCAAACCTGACGATGTTGCTAACACGAAACCTAGCAAGAGCCGTGCTTCGCAGAATCTACCACCGGATCGGAAACGTGACCCACTAAGAATATCCGGCGAGATTTTTTTTATTGAAGTATTGCTGGTGGCCCGGAGGCCTTTCCAGTTTCACCAAGACAGGGAGGTCGAGCAAAGGCTCAGCCAGAAGGGGTGGGATTTGCTAACAGCTGCCCGAGTGCCTCCGAAGGAGACCTAACAGCTCAAGAGCAGCTGCTTCGCGAATGAATCTACTACCGGATCGGAATCGCGACCCGCTGAAAAGATCCGGCGAGAAACTCAGCGAGCTAATTAATGGGTTAGGTTGCACGTCGAACTCTTTGTGGAGTTCGACAAGAACGATGATCGGTGCTTGGGTTACCTAAAAGCACCGTTAGTGGATCGGGAGGATCCGAAATGACGTGTTTTGGGCGACTTCGACTGTTTACCATTTGGTCCGCAGGATCGGGTATGTAGTTCCCGGCGGCCACGATGAGAGAATTCTCATGTCGTGCTGCTTTATCGAAATGCGAATGTTGTTATTCGCAACTTGTATATATGCAAGCTTATCCTGA